GGATTCATCTTATCTGTACAACAGGGCTCATATATAGAACAATACTGTGAGGACTCGAAAAGCACTTTTAAAACAGTGGTTGGCATCTAGGAAGTGCAATGTAAATATTCATTATAATTCCCTGCACACGTCTACTCTAGGAGTTTATCAAGGTCTGCGCAAAGAATCTTGCATTTATTTATCAACATTTGTAGTATGTCTGATGTGAAACTTGCCAGCCACTGGAGGCAATATAAAAAGAACCTGGAGGGCCTGGGGATTTAGCTCAGCGGCATAAGCGCCTGCCTTGCAAGCAGGCAGTTGTGAGTTCGATCCCTGGTACCGCTAACAATGAAAAAGACCAAAAAAAGAACCTGGCAACTGAAAAGACTTTTGACTAACGACTCAAATGTAATGTGACAAATGCTATACTCCATGAAAGGGCAAAGTGCAGAGCACACAGGACATGTAAAAGCTAATGGTCCTGAACCATTGGGGAAGGCATACCAGGCCTAACACTCAAACATGGGGCTTCCCAAGAGCATGTATAGGGGCAAGAAGCTATGCTGCTAACAGCAGTGGGCAGGTAGAGAACCCCACGTGAGGCTTAATAAGCGTGTTACACCCACTGTATAAGGCCTTGTATAACCTGATCAAGTCTACACATACGACCTGACCAATCTCATGACACTAGCACCCTGGGTGTGCCATGGACAATTTTGAAGTGTCAATGGCAATCAGTTACTAATAATAGCTGAAATGTGGCAGCTTGACATTTTACAAATATGTTAGAAACCACTGTAGAACAATGTAGAAAAAGCCATAAGCAAAAAAATGCATACACTAGAATTCCATTTTTATAAAAGGGACCCCCTGCCCCATAAAGTTAACAACACTGTCTCGATTCAGGACAGTTAACTTTAGGGGTAGCAACTGGAAGGAGACCCCAAGGGGACTTCTGGTGGCCACTAATGCTGTTTTCCGACCTAGGCGTTGGTTCTACAAGTTTGTTGTATGTGGTAAATAATAAATTCCAGCATGGATACTTTCTTGTATCTCTTATGTTTCAAGTTACAGTGCAGAGTAGGTTCCAGACATTTTTGTGCTCATTTACTTTGACTGGATGTCCACCAATCACTGGGTGGGCGGATATTACTTGTTACCTGTTATTTTATTAGATTTAACATGAAAACATCTCCTGGATGCTCTGACTGGCCCTGACAGCCAATCACACTGTTCAGGATCCCAGCACCAGTGGGACCAGTGTGTGCGAGTGTTGTGTGCACACACATGTGTTATGAACTGATTTATATTCCAGACTCAGTTGTACATGTAGAAATCCTGAAAAATCAGCATTCAGCGTACCTGTCAGTTTTTTCCTCGTTTTACCTAGAAAGAAGGGTTGGTGGTTTATTTACCTTATAGAGAGGTAGGTCAAAAAAATATGCATGAATTACAATCCATTCAACAATATGAATGGATTAGGAACACTTTTCTTTTCTCAAAGTTACTTTTATTAAAAATAATTTATCCAGCTAAAAACAAGAGCACAAAAAAGATACAAAAAGTCAAATCTTTTACTTTAGACTGGTATCCGAACACCATCACTGTTATGACTGTCTTACATATTCTTATGCACATATTTTGTATATGATCAGCCTTCCATACTGTGGGCTCAACCAAAAGCAGGCCAAAAATATTCCAAAAGTTGTGTCAGTACTGCAGACTTTTTTGGGGTCACTATTTCCTAAACAATACAGTAGGACAACTGTTTACATTTATGTTGTATTAGGTATTAGCAATGTAGGAAGAGGTACAGTTTGTCTGCACATAGCGTGTCATTTTATATAAGGGATTTGCACACCTTATATAGGTAGTGGTGTTGGGAAGGTTTTGGAACCAACTCCCTGTGGACAGCAGAGGATGACTGTGTACGTGTATGTGTGTTACTCCTGCCCCACTACTTTCCTTAAACTAATGGGAGCCCAGTACATTTCTTTCTGTATTTCTTTAGAGATGTTTTGTACCTACAAACACGGATACAACGAATTCTTTATAGGTGCTTGTATTCCCCCCACACTCTTACTTAACCAGCTATTTATAGTCTTTTGCTTTTACAAACAATTGAATATTCTTGAGCATACACTCTTCAGTGTGCTTTTAAATTTATGATACAGACAAGCACAGTAGTGCTTACCTATTAGTCCTTGTTCTTTAGGATGCTAAATCAGGATTGTTTGAGCCCAGGAATTACAGGTCAGTTTGGGCAGCATAAAATAGGTAAATTATAGTAGAAATTGACACATTTTTATCTAGTGTGTTGCCAAACTTTTTGACCTGCCATCTCTACTAAAAGACTGTTTTTGAAAGGATTTTGGCATTAGACATTTTAACGACATAAAGAGATACTTATATATGACATAAATGACATGTCAGTTCCTAAAATTCTCTGGACCTTGTCCTCCTTATGGGAAGCCATTACTAAAGTCATAAATACCCTGTTGATTATATTTGACTCCTGCATACTTACTTAATTCTATAGATACCTTGTACTATAGACCAGATCCCAAAACAAAAAGGTAAAACTTGACCTTCAAACCTCATAGAGACCTTAATAGTGTTTTCAACAACAGAGATAACAGTGACACTTGGAGTTCTGAGACAGGTAACCCAACACAAGGTGGAGCTGCCTGGGCTCCCCCAGGGACCATGCCTCAAATGCAGCAGAAGGACATTGGGCAAGAGTGCCCCATCCTGGCATTCCTTTGGGATCTTACCCCAGGGCTACTCGATTGTCCTAGCCACCAGAGAGTGGGTAAGCCATCCTAACTTCTGGCCCTCATGGGAAATGCCAATGCTGTCAGATTCATCGCTGACAGATCTGCTTAAACTTGCTGCTGACGGGGCTCAGGGCCAACAGCAGCCCACTTTAAGGTGTCTGTCTCAGAGTCCCACTAAAAGTCTCAGATAAGACATTCTCTATATTTGTAGACATAGAAGCCATATATACGGAGGTCTTCCTGAGTTTTCAGGCTGCTCTATTAAGTCCTCAATCTCTAGGGGGTATTGATGGTCAACCTATGCCATTTACAAACAGACCCTATTTCGTGCAGGTCCCAGACTGCTTCTTCCCAATCCACCCCATGGTGCCAAATCTTCCCTCCAACACTCACTCTACAGTCCTAAATCTTAAAAATTCTTTTTATTCCCTTGTGTTTATACAGACTGACCTAGACATTCTGAGGTCTCAACAGCTTACACCTGTTATCGCTAGTAAACCTCTCCTCAGGGATATATATATATATATATATATCTCCCCCTTCCTTTCCTACTCACCAATTTCTCAGACATAACCCTGGTCAAGACTGGCAGATAAATTTTTGTCTTCTCACTTTGTTTATACTTTTTCAGGATACATAAAAGCCTTTCCCACAACCAGGAAAACTGCTGATATACTTACTAAAGTCCTGTTACAGCAAATCATTCCAAGGACAACAACCAGGTCAGAGCGACCCATACCTGGTATTCTTGGCAATCTCAACAGTGATCAAAGTTGCTAGACTGCCATCCTGGTTTCACATCACTCAGGCTAATTGGTGCCCTTCTAGCCCTAAATCTAACCATCCTTTTGCCTACTCATCTCCATCTCACCAAGGCCTCACAGCCACAACTTTCAGGCTGTCATGTTTTGTTATCCAATTTGGTTTCTAATTTCTTATCCTTTTTTACAGCAGGACCCTCAACAGTATTTCCGAAAGACTCTCACATCATGCATACCAGAGACAAGCCTGACCTACCTACCCTCTTACATGTTACCCTTTCAGATGGGGGAGTAATCACCTCTCATAACTTTACTCCTCCTAACCCCACATTTATTTTTCAGAATTCTACCTTACTGTGGCAATGATTCTACCTCAACGTGGTCCTGACATAATGATATGTCTGAATCAAAGGCACCTTTCCTTCTACCTCACCTGGGTCCTTAAATATGATAGTGCCATGCCTCCTCATAATACCTTGTCTTTTTTGTTTTTCCAGGCTAACATACATGTATTCACCAGTGATGAAGTTGTCCTGGCTAAAACCCCTGGCACCAGCTTCTACGTGGGCATCAACCGTGATCCCGTCGACTCCCCTAAACCCCAGTACAGCGTCCCTTTCCAGCAGGAAGCAATAAAAAAAAGAAATCTCCACCCCTTTTCCTAATAATAATCATAAGACGGGAATGAAAGGATTTTGGCCCAGATGGGACGCTGTAGCCTGTAAAGCCTTGGAGGCGGGACCAAGGAGCTCCATCTTCCCCACCCCTAAAAATTTACCTGTGGCTCTATCTTCCCCACCTCTAGGAATTTGCCTCTGGCACAAAATGAATACCAATGAGATACCTGTGCATCACTAATGCCCCGCAGGCACCACCCCCAACCTAAGCTACATGTATGCCCCCACTCCATGTGTCCGACAGAGAGATTACCAGACCCCTGGGAAAATGCCAGACCCCAGAGGGTCAAGGGGCCTCCCCACATTCTTAAAATAAAGGTCATTTATATTTCATACTTCTTATCTTTTCAGCCATGCCAGAATTCTGTCAGTTTTGTGCCTGTTTGGTGGTGCTGGAGACTGAACCCAGTGCCTTCACACTGAGCTTTATCCTAGACCTTTTTCTATTTCTTTATTTTGAGACAGGATCTTGCTGAGTTGCTAAGCCGCCGAGGTTGGGCTCAAACTTGAGATTTTCCTGCCTCAGCCTCTCAATGTGCTGGGATTATAGGTGTATACCATCACACCTGGCTAACAATGACTGTTCTGATCACTAGTTGTGATCAAATATTAAACCAAGTACATTATGTTTTAATGTCTAAAAGGTTTAGTCTTATATTTCTCAACGAAAGGGTCGGTCATTTACTAAATATTTTAAGGACATTTTAGATTAATTACAGATTCATTGGCACAATATAGTTGCTATGCTATATGTCTTAGTTACTTTATGCTCATTGCTAAGACAAAATACCTGAAGCCCAAAGTTGGGAAAGGAAAGGTTTATTTCTTACAGTTTTTGGAGGTTTCAGTCCACACTTAGTTGGCTCCAAGGCAGGCAGGCATGGCTGGGCCGCAGTTCATGGCGGCTGCAAACAGCAAAACAGGAACCAGCAAAGAGCAAGACACACCTTCTTCCTGCCATTACATCACATCTTGTGTCCACCCCTTTGAGGGTGGGGCACTGACACCATCAATCCAAGCACTAGACAATGAACGAATAACAAATGCACAATTCAAACTCCTGAGGCCTGGGGGCCACAGACATAAACCATGACACTATACAAATCTAATAAGCATGAAAACTGGAGTTATCATTTTCCTCAAAAAGACAAAATAATTGTTCATGTCACAACTATATTTTTTTTAGGGTGGAGCCTTCCTATGCTCCCAAGGTTACCCTCAAACTCACCAACCTCTTGCCTCAGCTAGCAAGGCAGCTGTGATTATAGACCTAGCTTTTCACAGAAAATTTAAATAAGAATCATATTCAAAAGCTAGAGGCATCACAACACCTGACTCCAAAACATGCCTTAAAACTACAGTAATCAAAACAGCATGGTACTGTCATAAAAACCAGCATATAAACAAATGGAATTGAGTAACATACCCAGAAATTAATTTACATGTTTACAGCCAACTGACTATTGACAAAAGTACCAAGAATAGCTATTTGGGAAAGGACAATCTCTGCATAAACAATACTGTGGAAACTGGGCATGTATATTTAGATAAATGGAATCAGACCCCTGCCTCTTGCCATATATAAAAATCCCCTCAAAATGGGTCAGACCTAAATGTAAGACCTGAAACTATGCAACTACTTTAAGTAAACCAAGGAAAAACACTGCCTAATATTGGTATTGGCAAAAATAATTTGGTTAAGGCCACAAAAGAAACAACAAAAGCAAAACTAGGCAAATGAATTGTATCAAACTACAAAGCTTCCACATAGCAAAGAACAACACAATGATGAGATAAACTACAGAATGGGAGAAAAGAATTGCACACTATACTGCTGATAGGAGATTAATATTTAGAATACATGAGACTCAGCTGCAGAAAAATAAGCCAGTTAAAAAACAGGCAAAGGACCTGCAAATGGCCAACTACTATATGAAAAAAAGTCCAACGTTACTAATAGTGACAGAAATGTGTGTCAAAACCCCAATGACATAACATGCTATTCTCGTGAAAGTGGTTACTACCAAAAAGATAACAAAGCAAAACAAAACAACAAAAACTGGCAAGACTGCGGAGAAAGAACTCTTAAAATACTCTCTTGGTGAGAATGTAAATTATTAGTAAAGCCATTACAGAACATAATAATGTGGAGATTTCTCCAAAAAAAATATTAACAGAACTACTACTGACCCAGCAATCCTACCACTGGGTATATACCCAAAGGAAATTACATCAGTATCAGAGAGTATCTGTATGCTCAAGTTTATGTGCAGTATTATGCACAACCGTCAAAATATGGAGTCCATCAAGACACTCGTTGATGGAAAAATGCTAAAGGAAATGTGGCACTGTATGTATTCTTAATGCAATTTAATTCCATTAAAAATAATAAAATTTCATCCCTGTAACACCATAGATTGAATCAGAGGACAATATGTTACATAAGCTGAGCCAGGCACAAAACGATAAATGCTATTTATTCTCACAATTTCAAGGAAGCTAAAAAGTTGATCACATACACTAGAATGTAGGAGGAGCAAAAGATGGAATAACAGATACCAAAACACACGTAGTTCTAATGGGAGTTAGTCTGAATGCTGGAGAGCCTAGTAGTTTATAACTATGTTCTACAACACACATATTTTTAAATCACTTCAGCAAGAATTGGAGTTTCCAACACAAATAACTGATAATATTTAAGAACTTGGAAATGTTGATTACTCCAACTTGCTTATTAAACATTATGTATCAGATCATAACCCTATACCCTATGGAGTACATTATATGTAGACTGTTTTTTAAAAATTATGTTTATAGAGTAGACCATGTATACAGAACAGATTTCTTCTCTTTAAACTTTTTTTTTTCTGTTTAACACTTTACATGTAAATCCCTCAGAGAGAAATAATAACTACACCGGATTAGTGTCTTCTTGAAATTCACGTCTGACTAGAGCCTGTGTGCAATCTAATTTGAAAATGAGGTCTTTGTAGATATGGTCAAGTTAGGATGTGAGACTAGATTAGGGAGCCCTAATAGCACAGCTGATCCCTTGCAAGACAGGTGGACACAGGCCCGCCCACAGGGAGAATGTCGTGAGGTACAGAATGGGGCGGTGCAGCTATGGGCAAGCAACACTCAGCATCAAGCAGGGAAGGACTCTTCCTAGGGCCTTGGAAAAAAGCATGGCCCTGCTGATTTTGATTTTGTATTTCGAGCGTCCAGAACCATTACAGAATAAATTTGTTTTGACCTGCTAAGGATGTGGTAATTTGTTGTAACAGCCTTAAGAAACTGATAATTGCAATAATCACTTCAAATTTTGTACAACTTTGAACTATCATGATTTGCAAGTGATACAAAACTGTATCAAGTGACTTGTCATTCGATGTCTCTTCAGAGTACCATGCTGCTTCCAATAAGTAAAGCAAAAGAAAAGACTAGATACAAAAACCTTTTTGCACTATTTTCCTTTTTAAAGTATTATCTCATGAATATGCAATTTATATTAAGGAAAAATAATTCCTAGAAGTAAAATACCACATTTTACAAAAGGCTGACACTTTTAATACACATGGCCTCTACACGTTTTAACAACTTCAAAAGTGCAGCTGGGTTATATGGGAAAAGATTTTTCTTCTGCAAACGGTAAATGGCACCTTGTAGGTCCTCAAAGCATTTGACTACTCTGTGAAATATCTCTACTTCAGAGACAGTGTTATTTGGGTCTATTTCACAGTCAACAGAAAAGGGATCAGCAGATTCTTCTGGAACCAGAGGGCTTGACTGAGGCTCTAAGGTAAGTTCCTTTTTATCCCTACCTGTCCCAGCTGGGCCTTGCACTGTCTTGCTTGCTTGTTCGGGGAAAGATGTCTGTTGGCTGTTTGCTAAACACTGGCCTGTGGATTCTGTTTCCGAATCATCAGAGCTGTCGTAGTCGACCAGCCTTTGGGAAGTGTGAGAAGTCAGACTATAATCGCTCACGGTATCCGTCTCCTTGGACATCACATCCTGCTTCAGAAGTTCAGAAGAATCACCGGCAGCCCAGGGGACGCAGGCGTGAGCATGTCTGTGACTACCAGGAGCAGTCAGACCATGAGGAGGAGGTATCTGCTTGCTGCTTCTGTCTTGGGCAAGCGAGGGGGCACAACTATGAATATTCCTGCCACACTGAGATTCAGCTGCATTGAAGGCCTTGCAAATGGTGAAAAAAATGTCCCAGTCTTTTTGTAGTAACTTTAAATACCTAACAAAATATTCAAGAAAACAAGTCTCTGATGAAATCAAAAAGTCAAGAAGAACTGCTGAATCAAATCCTATATTTTTTAAGAAGAATATGAAAATACAGTGAGGATTATAGCCGTTTTCATGTGTGTGACGGATCCACGTTTCTTTTCCTTGGGTCACACTTTCAGTAGCTTCATAGTCTCTAAAATGAAGATAAGGGAGAACCCAGATTAACGACTTGTTTGCAAATGTAACAATTTTAACAAACCACACATTTACCTATACGATTACTTTTTAATCTACGCATTACTTTAAAACACAAAATTAAAAACTATTCTATTCCCTACAACTCAAAATAAATTTGATTCAATAAAATCAAAAGCCCACTGACTCTGGCAGTTCTAGTTTATGTCTGTCCAACGTAAGTCTTCTGCTGTCCTTTCCCCTGACATCAGAACCCTTCATTTTCCCGGGCAGCCAACTGCATGGTAAGGGGCAGGGGGCTGCAGCCTCAATCTCCTTTCTTGACTTATCAATGGAGCTGTACGTGTGATCTAGACTGACTAATCAGTGCCACATGCTCTTGACCTTAATGACAAGAACTCAGGACCCAGAGGGGCTAATTGGCTCTCTCTTGGAACTTTCATTGGCACTATGAAAGATTACAACTTTAAGACCCATGTAAGCCTGAAATTGCTGGTGGCCATACCCGAGAATAAATTCAGAGTTGGGAGGCAGTGTCAACGAGAAACAGTTGAAGGCATGACCTGAATTCCTGTGTATAGTCATGGCTGTGCCAACTCAATCCCTCTGAACTTTGATCACAAGCCAATAATTTTTCTACTTAAATGACTTTCTATTAGTTTCTATGATTTACAACCAAAACAACTTAACCGATACATTTTTAAAAATAAGTGCATACGGCATGGGCATCTACTTCTCTGGACACTTTGAACTGAAGTTATAAAATTCCCATAGAAATCAAATGTAATTCAGAGGTTCCCTTTTCCTTGGAGACTAAAAAGTCAGCTTGGAGTGCAATGAAGATACTCATGCTGGCATGCACGTTTTCAGTCTAAATTTCTGTTTTACTGTTTTCAAGCCTAATTCAAATCACATGTAAGAATTGTATGTTCTTTGATTAGAACCTTTTTCAAAATTGGCCCCAAACACTCAGGGTCTGAGAGCGGTCACTGCCAGCACTGGCAGCACTATGCCGCACCACCGATCATTAGTAAGAAATCCCTTTCTCCCAGGCCAAGAGAGAAATGGAAATAAAGCAAATACTTTAGGGCTTTAATAAAGCAAAGCAGGACTAGTAGAAAAGGTCATTAGTTATTAGCTTCGTAAGCAATTATAGATATTTGCCACACGAAGAGACTGCTGCAAGTACAGGCTGTTTTAATAAAGCAGAAACAGAATCCGTATAAATGTCATCAGTAACATAACTTCATAACCAATTTCAGACACATGCCTTAAGAAGGTAGGAGTCCAAATGTGGCTATACAATAAAGGGAAAGTTTGCAACAGCTCCTTTGAGTATGTGTAAGTTTGTACTCACTTTTACAAACACAAAAAGCAACTTATAGATGCTTAACAGAGAAAATTAAGTCTCATAGGTGAAAAATGGTCACCAACATCAGCTGGGATTTAGAAAAGCATACTAGCTTACCCCTGGTCACACAGGTAAACAGGTGGCAGGGAAACAGGATGTGAGTGACCAGATTCCGATCTACTTCTGCTACCCCTGACTTGCCAGCCAGTCAAGAATTCACAATGATCTAAGTCTACCCTTGCTTTTATGTAAGGCTGGGTTAGAGAAACGAACTGGAACTCAGGAGCAAAGCACAACATTTCCCTCCAAAGATGAAAGTAAATAGCATGCCCAGCACATGTTCTGAAGTGCTTCCTATTTGTCTGGCATGCAGGAAGTTCAACAGTTACCTTATACACACTCACCTGACCAACTTTAGGTACACGCTCAGTAATGCTTTGGCAGCCTCTAGCATGTCATCGTCTTGTTCTATGAAGACCTGACACAGCCATTCACACGGGCTGTACAACTGCAGACAGGGCTGAAGGTGAGGCTTTAAGAAGGTCAGTAACTCAGACATGAATCTCTGTAAGTCAGCTTTGAAAAATGCAAATTTCAAAGTGTAGGCAACAGTTTATAAATATGTTAATATTTTAAGTGTCTAAAGTATCTTAAAGTATATTAGCACAATTCATACCTTCAAAAAGTCCTGTGAGTTAGAGATTATCTCTATTTTGTTATGAAGAAACTGAGGCTCAGAAAAACAGTGACTTAATAAAGGTCATTCGTTTAAATGTATGGATCACTTATTTGCCACAATTGCCATGTAACTAATTACAGTTAAGTCTCAGGAACAAATGCTGTTAGCTAACAAATGCTACTTGTTGTTGCTAAAAGCATATCAATAAATAAGCCAAAAACAGAGATCTGTTCACTGGCTACAATGGTGTATTACTAAAGACATCAATGAAACCAAATTAAAAAATAATTTTGCTTCTAAAGTAACAGAAAAGTATTTTTGTTAAAGCATTGAAAGTACTACTGTTAAGCAAAAATAAATAAAAAAAAGATTCTGAGGACCTCCAAATTATATAACAGATGCCACCTAGTGTTGTAAATTATATTTGCACAAAACAATAACTAATAAGCAATTATTAAAAATGACATCCAAAACAGTTCAGGGAAGCTGCTCCTCACACTTCCAAGTTTTCATGGGAAGTATCTGCTGCTTGTCTGGGGCTCTGCTACTCATTTGTGCAGCAGCAAGTATTTTCCCCAGTATCTACACTGAAAATGCTACTTTGTAAGGTGTTCTCTGAACTTCTGAGCTAAAATGCAATCCACATCTTCTTATATGCACAACTCAATTTATAAGTATTAATAATCTATATAAGTAAGTGTACTACTAGAGTAAATAAAAAAGATAAACTACTACAAACACTGGAAAATAAATTAACTTCTACCACTTTGAGATGTCAGTACACTGACTTATGTTTGAAGTAATTTATTGCACTATATACAGTCAGTGTGGCTCACAATACATTGTCCATGTTCATGACAATTTCAGTTCTCTCTCTCTGCTGGGGGAAATTTTTAATAAATTATAATCAGGAGAACCTGAATTACTGGAATTTTTACTAGCCCCATGATTTGATAATTATGAAGTAGTAACATATTACTTTGCATAAAAAAGGAGTTTGCAAATTACCTTTCATTTCATTTATAGATGTATAGTTTTGAAACTTGATTTCTAAGGACTTCACTGTTATTAAGCTTGCAGCTCTAAGGAGCACGTGATCTGGACCAGCAGCGTCTCCTCCTCCAGGCTGAGCTTCGTTACCTCCAAAGCAAGGTCGTTTTCCACGAACAGGCAATGTCTTCAATAAACCCAGACTCACAGCTTGCAAAACGGCATTAGCTAAAGCCATCATGTCCACATCTAAGTGATGGTCTGGTGACAGCAAGGCCAGCACAGAGGCACGACACAGGTCTTCACCCACCTTACACAGAAGGCACTTTTTGATAAATATAATCAACTTTCTTTTGACGAAAGCCGGAAGAGGCTGGGTAAGAATGTCTAGCACACAAGAAGGTTTTAAAAAGAAAACGCTTTGGCTCCTGAAATGTGACTTCAGGTAGATTCTGGAGGCTATGAGAAGTTCAAGTAAGTCCAAGAAACTCACTAAGCTGTTTATTATCTTAGAAGGATCCTGGTGGTTTTCAAAATGCTGGGAAAATAAGGAATCATAGAACACTTCAAGAGTAGTCTCAAAAGTAGTCAGGAACTGCTTTAGAATTTCTGCAATGATAGAAATAGTAATCATAAGCAACAGAAAAAAACAAAGGCTTATGAAAGTACAATCACAGTTCAATTTTTATAAATATATTTTATAGGATAAAAACATACATTTGGAGTATTTATCCCTAATAAGAACAAATGAAACACAGATAAAAAACTAACAAGTATGGTTAACATTATTTTATAAATACAGATAGTAGACTATGTAGGACATTTATGATAATGAAAAGTTTTCATTTTTCTATATAATTTTTTTTCTGTTAAAAGAGGTTAAAATGGGGATGGAAAAATTGGCTTTTCCTATGCTAAGACGGAAATTAGACCGATGTTTATAACCATGCACTGAACTAAACTGAAATGGATTGAAGATCTAAATATTAAAATGGAAACATTAAATCTGTTGGAAGAGAAAATAGGTAGAACTCTTCAAGACATTGATGTAGGCAAAGACTTCATGAACAAAACCTGTCTCATGGGAAATAATTCAAAGAATCAACATCAGGGATGTCTTATTAAAAAAAACTTTTGCATAGCAAAAGAAGTCACAAACAGAGTAAAACGACAACCCACAGAGTGGGAGGAAAAAATTCAGCCAGTTGTTCCTCAGACAAAAGACTAATTCCTAGAATAAATAAAGAATTGAAAAAATCAGACTCCTCAAATTAAAAGACCCACCCTAAAAATGGGCATCTGAAATGATAAGACATTTCTCAGAGGAAGAAGTAGAAATGACAAATACATGAAAAAATGTTCAACATCACCAGTCATTCAAGAGATACAAATTAAAACAATGCTGAGATTCCATCTCATTCCAGGATATGAAGAAATCAACCGATAAAAAATGCTGGCAGGACTGTGGGGATAACAGAGCCCTTCGCTGCCAGTAGAAATGCAGACTGGTGCAACCACTGTGGAAATCAGTGTGGCGAGTCCTCAAAAAACTAGGACTAGAGGGTCTACTCAACTCAGCTATTCCCCTTCTTGGCATCTTCCTAAAAGAATCAAAGGCACCATACCACAGTGATACATACGCACCGCTGTGTATCGCAGTAGTTTGTAATAGCTAAACCTCAGAGAAAGCTCAAATGTCCATAAAGTGATGCATGGATACAAAAGATGTGTATATATATATATATATATATATATATATATATATACATACATACATAGACACATATACTGGAGTACTACTAAGCTTTAGGTGAAATAAATCATACAAACATGTGCAAATAGTGCATTGGTTTCCTGCTGTTGAGAAACTGAAAGTGGAAATAAGAACGGAAATGTGTAATAGATATTGCAAAATAGGAAGAAATTGTTCAAAAGGAAACAGGAGCGAGGGAGGGGGAGGAGGGAAAGGAAGAAAGAGAAAAGAAAAACATGAGGAAAGAAATATAAAATAAAAACAAAGCTTTGTAAATAAGGAGGAGCAGAGGGGTTAAAGGGAGGGGAGCAGAATGGGAAAAAACAGGAATCGAGATGTATCAGAACAGGCACAAATTCCCTAAGATGAATGTGATCACTATGTATGTTTAAATTGTACCAATAAATAATAAAAAGGAAGTATAGTCTTTTAAATATATAGGTGCAGATTCTTTAGTTTTTCATACTTCAAGAGAAATCAAATATAAATTTGATTCTTTATCATAGATAAAATGTCCCTGGGAGCAACGTGACGGCCATGTGTGGGGCGATGAGTTCATACCTGTTTTCTCTGAACATGTGTCTTTAAAGATTTCTTTTATTACAGCTGTAAGAATCCAGACGCAATGTACTACTTCATTACTCTCAGAGTATTCAGAAAGGTTGTTTTCGCAAAAAACAATCCAGGAGGTACTTAATGTTATCTACAAATGAGAAAATAAAAAAGGGTAATAAAAAAAATTAAAGATATGTTATACACGTGTGCCAACTTCCTACAATGAATGCAACTGTTATGCACTGTTAGCATGTACTGATAAAATAAAAACAAAGAATGGTATTTTCTTTATAGTTGCAAATTACTTATTATACACACAATAATACGTAACACACTGTCTATTCATTTGCCTTAAAAACGCACTAAATAAATTCACTACGCCATAGAAATTTCAAAGGGAAACATGAAAATACTAGGAGTGTTACTTACAGATAATAAAACGAAGTATAACTCTTATTTTGGTCTTTATACTTTGCTCTATTTCTCAAATATATCACTTTTATGTTCAGAAAAATGTCAGCAAAACTCAGATTTGCTTGTTAATTTATTCAGAGGTAAGAGAACAATCGGATTTTGAATCTGTTCATATAGTTTTTCATTACGCTAAGGGCCATCCATAGATTTTATTTATATCAAACCTGTGAAAATGAGCTTGATCAAGTACCAGTTCCTATAACTTTTTTGGGGGGAAGGCTATACTACTGACTTGAGAATACAAACAAGGCTATGGCCTAAAACTCACCTCTTGTGTTAAGAGTTTGATTATTAAAATTCTAATTCTTTTTTTTTTTTTTTTTTTGGATGCTGGGAATCAAACTCAGAATTTCATGATGGCCAGAAAGGCACTGTACCACTGAGCTAAATCCCTGGCCCCTAAGACCACAATTCTTGATACCAGCAACCATCACATTACTTCATGGTTATGATTTTGTGGACCTATGCATTACTATGTGAGTAAATATTTTATTAATAAAATACAAGCATCCCCTGCTTAAAGACCCATCTGTTTAACAACTATTCTGACTTATGGTCCTTTTTGTCCTTTGTACAATTCTGCATATCTTGTTTATAGCACCTTGATGTCTTTTTTTGTACAGTACACCTTTATACAGCACTGCAATTTTTGTTGATTGCACTGTGCATTATAGTACTGTAAGTTTATGTTCTGTTATATATTAGAGTACTACCTTTAAGAGTTATACAAATAAAAGCAAAGTCACCACATTGGAGTTTTCTTTGACCACTTCCTTTTTTTGACTATTGTAATGTACATACTTCATACAATTCTTCATTTGCAACCAGTTTAATTAATGGCCTACCCATATAGCTGCATGACCTATTAAAGGAGGGATGTCTGTATCTAAAGGAGCAAAATCAAATGTCAAAGAGCAACTTTAAAGACCTCAGAAGAGAAAAAGTAACACATATGATTACTTATCTTACCTTTTCTTTCAACTGGAAATAGAGAAGCAATGCCAGACACTTTGCAGCCATGTGAGACAATAATTTATCTGAATTTTGGATCATACAAATCTACAGAAATACAAATATATTTAATCACTATGGTTGAATGTGTTAGAACTCTTACTTTACAGATCTAAATCTTAGAAAAGGTAAATGGATTACCAATTTAGAATCGACCTCATTTGACTGTAAAAGGATTTTAGTTATATCACAGTATTTCTCCTTTGCACGGATCTCAGTTTCCGCAGACAGTATCTTGGATATCATCACTTGGATCACAGTTAACTGAAGGAGCTGTGTCTCTTGGCCACCTCTTGTCTGAGAGTTTCTCTTCACACGTACTCCTGCTCCAGGCATGGCAGTCACCGTGGCAGGCTGATGCACCTCCTGCACCTCATTTGTGTCTGGCCGTTCTAAGGAAAGGGTGGTGGCGTACTCTTGATCTGGAAGTGCTGGGTTGAGATAAAAGACATACTCGTGGCTCTCGCTTTCGAGTGTGGCTCCGAGAAGTACTTTCTTATATAAGTGCTCTAAGACTTCCCAGAAGGCATTCATTTTGATTTTCAAAATGTGTCTACTAAGAAGGTCGACACCTCCACGTTGTAAATATTGCTATTTTGGAGATGTGATGAATCCTAACATGTTTCTTCAGTGATGCCTAAATGAGGAAAAATAATTTTTAAAATTATAAATGATACATATATATTATAAGAGAAAGATAATGGTTGCCACTTAATTACTGTCTCAAGTCAAATGTAATGCTGATTGTTACAGAATTTCTAAAATAGAAAACTGTAATAAGAACATTATGATATATATATGATTTCCGTCCAGATTTAAGGGTATAAAATTATTTTAATTTTATCACAGCAGAAATGGCAGCAATCCGCTAATGTTTTTCAGTGGTATGCAGCGGTTTCTCAACCTTGGACCTATTAACCAGGTTACTCTTCAGGTGGGAAGATGTCTTGGGAACTGTAAGACGTCAAGCAACAATCCTGACCTCTGCGCTCTCTGTGTCAGAGCACTCAGCCCCACATGCAAATTGTGACAACCAAAAATGTCTGCAGATTTTGTCAAATGTCCCGTGTGGAAAAAATTGTCCAGTTCACTCTGATAGCTCAAATTCATTAAGCTTTACCTCCAATGTTAAAATGAAAATCTGAAGTTAGATTGCTGTCATGATCCAACTATATTATGGCTATTGCTAATTAAGGTTCAACTTAAAATTACATGGTATTAGAACACTCAGTTATGACCTGTATCACTAAAAAAATTCTGAAATCTTATCCCAAGAAAAAGACAAGACGTGGAGTAAACAAATAAACAAAATCAAATTTAGACATTCTGATTGTCCCACACTCCTCTAATGTGATGGACAACAGGATGGGGAGGGGATATTTCTTTCAAAGCAGAGACTATGGGGACTTGATTGGTGGATTGATATCAGGGGGAGCAGGTGGTTACTATAAAGACTGGGATAAGCCTAAGTAATTACTGGCTATTCTTTGAATAGAAAACGAGGACTTTCGAAAACGATCTGGCCCTCATTACCTTTATGCTATTTTACACCTTTTTTCCACATGGGACATTTATACCTCTTACTTTTTAACACCTTTTACACCTTTTAACTATAGATGAATGATAGCAATGCAAATAACTCTACGTATAGACACACAAATAATGGCGTGACAGAAGGAGGAACACCCCCCTCCAGTAGGAAAGGCTAGTTTTGCTTCTCTTTGCAAATACTGTAACATTCCTTTACTCCATATAAAAATTCATAGTTTTCTTCTTGAAACACATTGACAGCTGCTTGATTTTCTATGAATTAATGAGTTAAATAACATTTTTGACATGTGGTCATTTTTTATAGGTTATGATTATGTCCTCTTAAAATCTTATCTTTAACAACATCCACAGACTTCTTTCCTACCAAGATCAGGTGCAAATGCCTCGCTCATCTCTAACCTTGCTCAGAGGAATAGACTTAGAAGGTGACTTCTTCCACTGGGCCTCATGACCACTAACCTTGCCTTGGTCTTGGACCTCTCCCCACTGGCTTTTCCCTTTTACTTTGCGTCTAAGAAATTCTAATTGCTGATCACCCACCAGGCAAAGATACTGTGCTTTAGCCCTTTGTTGCAAAAATAAATATTAAGAACAAAATTTTGGAAGATTCCTTTGATTCAATCCTTTGTACACTTTCAAGCTGAAGTGTACACCCAACGTGATTTACTAACACAGACCGTTAGAAATCTTGCTCTAAATGTTAAAATTTTTCTGTATCCCCAGAAAGTAACAACAGTTAAGAAACACTGCCCACCTTGTATTCCAAAAACTAACCAAAAAGCCGCATCTGTCATCCATGTTCTCCAAAAGCCTACTGCTTCCTGCTTCTCCTTCAGAGATTTCCCACTCGGGAACATCCTCTGTGTTACAGTGACATAAACAAAACCCACTGGAGTGTCTGGCACGTTCTGTCAGGCACACATTAGGAACTGCGAAAGGGAGAAAAGCGGGAGGAGAAGTGAAAGGATGAGTTAACTGACATTTCTGATATGTGCTCGTGTTTTATAGGTCAAATAAATACGCCAACTTCCCAAGATGAATGGAGTCATTATGTACTGCAAACATATTAATGAAATTAAAAAACTTTCACATTCTACTTCAAAGCCTAACTGCATTGTACTTATTTTACTCTCTGCTTTAGTTGTCACAATAACATTTCTTCTCAATAAAGAGAAAGGTTGTAAACCGCCCTCCCCAATAAGGCTGAAAGGTATAAATGTTAAGAAATACAGGGCCGGGCTGTAACTCAGTGCTAGAGCACCTGTATGTATGGGCCCCAGGTGTCATGCCTAGCACTGAGAAAAAAAAGTGCCCTTTGAAAATGCCTGAAAGAAAATGGGGGCTACTGCATTATGTTAATGCTCTGAAATACCTTTTTAATGAGTGGTCACTGGAAAGGGCTGCTTTGCTGTCCTGATATGGCAAATGTTAAATAAATTATCTTCAAATCAGTTTTTTTAAAAAGCTAGATTCAAATGGATTTCCTATTATCTTGTGTTTGGAATTTTGTATCTCTGTTTTTACTGAGTTTTTCTTTTTTTCAAAAAAAAAACCCAACTGGACTTTATAAATAGAACCTCTCAATAAATAAATAAATAAACCAACCAACCAACCAACCAACCAACCAAACAACAGGACCACAAATGTCTAGGGGCCAGATGGATAACAAGATGAAGATAATAGGTCCTGAAGGCTGCTTTTATTGTAACCAAATACAAATCTTTTTTAATTACACTCTCTTTAAAGATATGTATGCAGGCTAAAGAAATCTACACTGAAACAAATGTCCATGGGTGGACAGCCTGCTGGAAATCGAAAACTACTTTTTGTTTTGTATTTAGCAACCGTGGTATTAAATGAAAGGACAAAACACTAAAAAAACAAACTACGAGGATGAATTGACTGCTTTTTTCCTTAAGTGGCTGCTCTGGGGTTTGTACATGGCAACCTACTTTACCAGGCTGGCCTGGAGGAGGTTGTACCCTTCAGTCACCAAGTTTGAAAGAGACATTAAGAGGCAAGGTGTCGGAGGAAGGGCACTCTGGGTGCTGGGAGGTTTTGAAACCATCTATACAGCCTGGAAAGGAGCAGAAACTTGAGGTCTAATGAGGAAAGCAATTGCACCAGCTCCTCTTGGTGTTTTTAGAATGCGCTTCTTGACAGAGGAGCATACACTCCATTGCTGAGGGATTACAAAGACAAGTGTTGTCCTTAGACTTCAAGGGATGAATAGTTCCAGGGCCCCATAAAGATCTGCAGTACTCAAGTCCCTTACATAAATGGTGTAGTATTTGCATCTAACCTGAATACACACCCCTGTGTGTTTTAAATAATCTCTAGATGAAGTCCAATACCTAATATGATGCAAATACTGTGTAAGTGGTTGTTACATTGTATTATTTGAAAAATAATGACAACCAAAAAAGGTCTACAAGTTTAGTTCTGAGGCATCTTTTTCCTGATTTCATTGAGTTTGCAAACATGAAACTTGTGAATGGAACCTGACAATATGAAGTTTGTCTAAAGCTTTCTTTATTTTTTAAACTACTATGAACTATTTGAATTTTGCATCCTATACAATAGAATCTGCATTCTAATACATACACTCATGTACACACCATGAAAATAAAACACTTTCCATTCACCATCACACAAAATTGATGCTTTAGGCAAAATTGTTAAACTTTATTCAGTGTACACTGTGTACCAAACATGGTTCTCAGTGTCTGCAAACTTCTCAACCTTACATGACAATGATCATATCCATTTCACAGATCGAAAACTGAAGCACAAAGAGGTGAAGTCACAGAGCTCGTTAAGAAGTGGCAGAATCACAATCTGAAGCCAACAAATTTGGAGTCTATGGCCTCAACCATCCTGCTGAGGCAATCCTCAAACTTCCTCTGACAGCCCCAAAACCAGGACAGCCAGTGAGAAGACCTCAGATAAACTTCCTAAATGTAAACACAATGCATACAGCCTAATCTCTAACTTTTAATTCTCCTATACTATAAACAGAGTAGCAGTCCTCAGGCTTGTCTTTACATGCACGAACTCTAAAATTAACCATGTTGGTGACTATGAGGTTTCCCAATGCAAATGAAGAAAATGTTTCAAAAGACACGGAGCAACTTTACAAAGGTTAAAACATTATGTAAGGATATCCCCTTCACTAAGCTTTTATATTAAATTACTTTTAGTAGCTCCACCAAACTCACTGACTGCTCATGAAAAGCCAAACTATTCATAGATTCTATTTTGTTAGTTTAATAGTAGCTTAAGAGTATCACAAATGAAAGATTGAGGCAAATGTAAAATAATTTCAACCTTCCCCAATAATTATCTCAAAATGGGTCATGGTCATAAAGCTCACAATCAAACTTTTAGAAAAAACTTAACAGAAAGTCTTTGAGCAAAGAATTGTTAGCCTTGACACCAAAAACATAATCTCTAAATGTAAAAACTAATAAAATGGACCTCAATAAAATTAAAACCTTTTCCTTTAAAAAAAAAAAAAAAGTCCTAGTAAGAAAATGAAAAGGCACAGACTGAGAAAACACTGTATTAGCAAACTGCACATCTAACCAAGGGCTAATATCTAGAATATGTAAAGAATCCTCAAAACTCCAGAAAAAAATACTTGAATTAGAGTTGGGCACAGTGGCATATGCCTGTATTCCCAGTACTTCAGGAGGCTGCGGTTAGAGCACCTCAAGTTTGAGGCCAGGCTAGGAAACTTGCAAAGACCCTGTCTCAAAATGAAAAACGGGTCTAGGGATGTAGTTCAGTGGTAGAGCATCCCTACCCTTGATCCCCAGTACCACATATGCAAAATAATAGTAATGACAATAATTTAGTTCAAATTGGGCAAGAGACAGGAAGACATTTCACTGAAGAGGATGCAGAGATGTCAGATAAAGACATGAGAAGATGTCCTAGCACATGAACTACCAGGGAAACTGAAAATTAAAAGTAGAGTGAAATATCACTATCGGGTCAGCTAAAATCAACATTAGTGACACCAAATACTGACGAGGTGGTGGCAAAACTAGGTCTCCTTCCCAACACTGGTGGGAATGTAAAATGGCACAGCTACTCCAGAGAAAGGACTCGCAGCCCTTAAACACTATAAATATGCGTCTACCATATAAATCAGTAATGAACGCTTGACGTTTATTCCAGAAAACGGGACAGGTGCATGATGTCCACCACCGGGTGAAGGGTTAAACAAACCCCAGCACACGACTACCATCCAAAACTCCCAGCCATACAAAGGAAAGAATTAGCGACCCCTGGAATAAGGTGGCTGGCTCTTGAGGCGATAGTGCTGAAGGGAACAAGCCAGTCTCAGAAGGCGCGCACTCACTGTATGATTCAGTTCATGAAATGATGAAATAGGGAATGAAGACCGGACCAGGGTTTGCCAGTCAGTAGGGAGGTGCCCTGCTTCTCAATGGGCACCGCCAGGAAGGTTAGGCACGGGGACTCTAGAATAAAGACATGCAGGCGACGCACAAACCTGTACGAATGACAACACTGCACAGAACTCAGTCTACATTTAAATAAAGGGATAAAGTAACACAAGAACTCTGAGTAACGCTGGTGGGTTATGCTGGACTGCATTAGATGTTCCCACTGGAGGAAGCTAGGGAAAGGGCACACAGCAGCTCTCAGCTGCCTTACCTCCCGGGCCTGCCTGAGCACCAAGAGTTGCCTCAACAACAACAACAACAACAAAAAAAAAAAAAAAAAAAAAAAAAAAAACCCACAATAATTTCAGTTGTAGACATCCGGCTTCTGATTCTTAGCATTAATACATACAGGATTTCATTCAGATCCATCAAAATGTTATGAAAATGTACCAGAATGAATTTTGATCTTAAAAATGTCTAATTAAAAATGAAACAGAATGGTATCTAAAAATGTTTTAAAAATTTCTGTCTTTTTTTTTTTTTTTGGTACCAGGAATCAAACTCACAACCTTGTGCTTGCTAGGCAGGTGCTTATGCCACTAAGCTAAAGCCCCGGCCCTAAAAATATTTTCTTAATGTCTACTCATTAGAAAGTATTCTCTGATAATTTCAAAATTATCAAAGAACAAGCAGCTAGTAATTTAGCGTTGTTTTTTATGTGCTGTGGAAAGTGTCACTACTTCATTTAGATTTTTCTTTAAATTCAGGAAACAGAAACATACCCTCACAGTCAATAACGAATTGACTTCCGCATGAAGTTTGCTGAGAGGCTCAGTACTGTGTTCCAAGGTTCATATCTGATCATGGCCTGAGCGGATACTTAACCCAGATGCTAGGACACTTCAACAGAAGTTGAGGCACTCCAAAGAAAGGCCATCCTCCTGGCTGGCTGGTTCTCTCCCTCAACACGATAGCAAAAAGTTTGCTGGAAGAAATATGGTCCTGGTTTGACTCTTGAAGAGTACCTCCTTTCCTTGTGAAAAGAAGGATAGGTATCTTCCCCATGCACACCATCTGTCAGTGGCCCAGCTGGTCCACCAGATGTGGGGACCGGTGGGAGGAGGGGGAAGGGAGAAGAACAGGGGTGCAGGCAGGCCACTCTCAGTGCCCTGAGCTAAGGCTCTTCTTACCATCCGTCACCACCTCCTGGGTACCACACTACCCCTTGCTACTTCCTTAAAACACTAGTGCTTAAACAGCCAATATCAGTATCAATGAAAGGCTGCAAAAGCAGATTGCGAGGCCACACGTAAGGTGTTTCAGGTAGGAACTTCCTGGGGTAAAGCCCTATTGATAATTTGGATTTTCAATTCCCAGATTATTGCTGAGACACTGAGAACTCTTAAACTTTGTCAAGGGTTTGTAAATTGTTTTCCTATTAAATTTGCCTGGGATTCTGACAAAGGCCAAGAATTTTACTTATTTATTTTAGCATAAAGGAAAAGGTTAGCAATTCA